ATGGACAACGACTAATGGCCATGGGATAATGGAAATCATAGAAAAGAGATAAATGATGGAATTTTGACAATTGCTATTGGGCTGGTAACTAGGTTTATTTTTATACATAATGTGTTTATAATTCGTATTTATTTTGTTACAGTTACTGGGACATGCGACATATGTACAATAATTTGTATGGGTTGGTATGACTTTTCAACTTTTGTCTACTCGACTATCACAGTTTCTTATATGCTAGTTAACACCCCCTGGTCGGTTCTCACTTCTCAGGTTGTCTTATGTCTACTCATCTTGGTTATTCGTTATTCACCCATTTGTATGCCATTTAAGCGTCTGTACTCCGTTTAGTCCGTTGTATACGTGTTTATACGTTTTATCTTAGTGTTTTAGCAATTCGTCATTCACCTGAAGGCGTTTCAACCTAATCTTGACAAACATCGTCAATACGGACAATCCGGTAATTAAACATACATTTTATTAACTAATTATTTATGAGAGAAATGAAATAATTAATAAATTACAAAACATAGGAACATAGGTTATAAGTAGGTAATAAAGTTGTTATAAAATTTAAATCTAATTCAATTTATTTATATCTTTTTGGTTTCTCAGTTTTAATCACAGAATATGAGCTTCACATGCCTACAGTAATGTTGTGTTAACTGCTTCTGCTGTTCATCTTATTATTTTGATTTTTTTTGTAAATTTAATTAGGTTCCTTAAAGTTAACTGTTTAGTATTTATCTATTTTACTTTATATCTTATTTAAATTTAAATTATAAATTATTAAGTTGGTAAATTGTTATCTTGTAGTAGGAAACATTCATATTTTAACTGTTCCTAATCATCACTGTACCTAATTAGTTGGCTTAGTTATTACCAAGGTTTTGGTTTTCACATTTTATTAAATTTCATTAGTTCAAAAATTTCGTTAAGCAAGTCTACCAAACGTAGGAAATGTTTAGAAGAATGTGAAGAACTAGGTTTAGCAATTGAAAGTAGTGAAATTAATGTTACCAACCAGCCTAGCACCTCATATGAACATAAATCTGATCATGAAATATTATATAATTGTGTAGGTGGTAAAAGTTATTCCACTAATTTTAGTACGAAAAGTAATCATAGTGACAGTGAAGGACTTGATCAATATTTAACTGTGGACGAAGTGATAGATGATCGTCAAAGTGACATTATTTTAGTACCTACATTTTTTTCTGATTCAGATAATGGTAATGAATGTTATAGTGAAAAGTTATTAACAAATATTAAATACTGGGCTGTTGAGCATAAAATATCAAATCTAGCATTATCTAATTTGTTAAAAGTATTGAAGAATAATCATGACTGTTTTTATTACTTTCCATGTGATGCCCGTACATTATTAAAAACAAGCATGAGTAACAACCCCTTACCAATTCAAACCATGAGTCCTTGTATATTTCATTATTTTGGTTTAGCTAATGGCCTAAAAGCAACTATTGGTACAAATATTTTTTCTGATGATACTATTATATTACATTTAGGAATAGATGGTTTGCCTTTAACTAAGTCAACAAATAGTCAATTTTGGCCAATTCTATGTTGTATAAGGAATTTAAATTATACCCGACCTTGTTTATTTTTAGTAGGTTTTTATTGGGGCACAGAGAAGCCATCTGATAGTAATATTTATTTATCAGATTTGGTTAATGAGATAAAAGAATTAAGTTCTAGTGGAATTGATCTACCGTCGGGTAGAAAACAAATAAAATTGGAAGCATTGTATTGCCTGTGTAATTATTTTCTAACTATTTAGATATTCAATTATTAAGTACAATAAATAAACAAAACATATGCCAGCAAATTAAGTTTTTGAAGACATAATTGGGCTCTTATTCATAACAATAGTTTGAGAACTATCCAAATCCGAAAATATTAATCTTCTGTTGGCTCCTTCAACAAATATATTAATGAAACTAATTAACTTAATAATAAAATATACTAACAATTAAATGATGAGACAACCAGTTAAGAGCAGAGGCGTGTCCAGCGGGTAGGCCTGGTAGGCCCGGGCCGCAGTATACCCAAAATATGCATTTTAAAATTATATTTATATAAGCACACTGAATATTGAATGTAAAATGTACATCAACATACTACGTAGGCAATTGTTTGACCATATTTTATGTAAATATTTGTCTATAAATAAAATTAATAATCGTAAAATTTATCGACAATTCTCAAGCGTTTTTTGGAAATACCCCATATTTTTTTATAGATATTACACGACCGTCGTCGTTTGGTCGGCGATTACCGCCGTAGTGTTGAGCGTCAAAAACTATGACATTGCTATTAGATAACGAATATTTTATTTAGTACCGACTTTCGATTTATTGTCACGGTTGACAACCGATCCCGTGAGTGAGAGTGTTCGTTTTTTATTATTCTGTGCTTATATTTTAAAACTATTATAAATTGTTTTATTTTTATTTTGTTAATATTGATTATTTATAATAAAATGATTAGCCAATTTTTTAAACCTGTTCCTAAATCAACAAGAACATGTTCTTCAAAAAATGATACTGACGATATAGTAGATCAACCACCAAAAAAAATTGTAAAACTAAACGACAATTCAATTTCTAATGATTCATTTAATGCAAAAGTTCTCGATGTTAGTTTAAATTGTGATTAAAAACCTATACAGCCAATCATTAATTTCCCTCGTCGAAAAATTGATAATAAACAACGTTGTTTCCAAAGTTCTTGGTATAAAATATACCCTTGGATTGAATATTCAGTTCAATTGAATGCAATTTTTTGTTTTTATTGTCGTCATCTTGCTACTTCTACATCTCATGAAAAACAGCAAGATGTTTTAATAGTTTCAGGGTACAGTGATTGGAAAAATATTTCAGGAATGACAAAAAAACATAATGAGGCAAATTCACATAAAACTTCGTTTGCAAAGTATCAAGGTTTTGTGACATCGAAAAGTGTAGACATTGCAAATTAATAGTCATGTTGAAGAAAATATAACTTAAAATCGAGAAATACTAAAAAGTATTATTCGTTCTATTTTGTATTGCGCGCGGCAAGATATTGGTTTACGTGGTCATTATAATGTAAATACTTCTTTAAACAAAGATCTAGAAAATACTGAACAAACAAACCAATCAATGTAATTTAAAAGGATTAGTTGATTTACTATGTTTAGAAAACGGAAAGTTTGATAAAGACTTAAAGTCTTTGCCTAAAAATGCAAAATACACATTAAACATTGTACAAAATGATATTTTACTTGCGTCTTCCAATATTATTACACAAACTATTGTTAAGGAAGTTAATGAAGGTAGTTCGGTGTGCAGTTTAATTGTGGATGAAGCTCGAGATGCTTCAACGTTAGAACAAATGTCAATATGCATAAGGTACGTACATAAATCAATTATTAAAGAACGATTTTTAGGATTTGTACAAGTATTAAAGTTGGATGCACAAGGTCTCACTCATTGTATTATAGAATTTTTAAATGCAGTTGGTTTAGACATTGAAAAATGTATTAGTCAGTCTTACGACGGTGCGTCAGTGATGTCAGGCTCTACCAACGGGGTACAAATAAAAATTAGAGAGCTCTCTAAAAACAAATGTATATACACTGTATATATACACTGTTACGCGCATCGATTAAATTTAGTTTTAGCCGATGTTGCTAAATCAGTTGAAATAGTTGACGACACGATAGGATTACTGGAAGCAATTTATGCATTTCAATCAAGTTCAACTTTACGCCATGGCATATTTTCTGAAGTCCAAAAAGATTGCGAAAATGTATTAAAAATACCCCAACATAGCGATACAAGATGGGTTGCTAAATACAAAGGTATTCATTTTTTTAAAATTCGATATGAAAATGTTATAAAAGCTTTGTCAATATGTTCAAAAAGTTCAAAAAAGAAAGAAGCCGCAGAATCCAAAGGCCTATTAAATCAGTTTGGTTCTTTCAATATTATATTTGTTCTAACATTTCTTGATAACATTTTATCAACTGTTAACACACTTTCAATACACTTGCAATCGTCAACACTCAATATAATTAAATGTTTAAAATTAGTTGAAGCTACAAAAGTAGAGCTTGAACGTTTACGTTCAGATGAACATTTTAGTAACTTTTATACAAAATCTGAAATTACAGCTTCGAATTTAAATATTTCTTTATCAAATGATAAAAAACGACGTACGAATATTAATAGTGCATTAACTGATTATGTTATAACTTCAACGACTGGTTTTAAAAATACTGATATTACGATTCAAAATATGCGAGTTATGTATTTTACAGTGGTAGAAAATATATTAAGTGAAATGAACAAAAGATTCCGATTTTTTATCTGCAATATCAGTATTTAATCCGACATCAAACAATTTTTTAAATGATAATTTTGTTTTAAAATGTACGAATTATTATGACGATGATAAATATTTTTCGGATAAAGCATTGAGTCAATGCAGATTAGCAAAAAATATGTATTTTGGCTGTAAAAATATTATAGATTTTTACAAAGAAATATGCGATATGGGAAAGTCATTTGAGGAGATTAAATCGGTTATTGAACGCGTGTTGGTTATTCCAGTAAGTTCGGCATCAGCCGAAAGAAGTTTTTCAACTATGAGAAGAATCAAAACATATTTACGGACATCTATGACTACTACGCGTCTTCATAATTTAGCACTGATATCAATCGAAAGAGAGTTCAGTTCGGTTGAAAGATCCTACTAAGATAATTGACGAGTTCGCCAAAACAGGCGAATTCCATTTATTAAATAAACACTCATATTATAAATAGTTCTCAATATTAGTACGTCATGTTACACCTCATGGCTCATACTTATGACTTAAAAAGTATAATTAAATTTTTTTTAAATTTTATAAAAGTATTGACTATACAGATTATTTTTATAACCAGGCCTGTCCTAAATTTTGGTCCTAGACACGCCTCTGGTTAAGAGTAATAATTTAAAAACTAAAAATATAAGAAATAAATACCAGATGATAAATTATGTGAGTTGTGTTTGTAAATACTATTTTGAGAAGATAATGTCGTTGTTCTAGTCTCAGAAGTTTTATCTGTTAGAACAATTTAATTAGTGTTATTAATTTATATTAACTATATAGGCTGGAATATCAATTATTTTATACTAATGAATATATTATGATAAACATTACCAGGTGTATGACCAATGCTGTCTATTAATCACATAAATTTGATTTAGAGCCAGTAGTATTTAGTATAATGTAATCATTTATTAAACTGAACCAGTGGCGAGGCGAGCTATTTTAACACAAGGAGCAAAGATTTTAGTCTAGGTACCCACCCACCCAGACCCAGTAACCACCCAATATTTTATCAAACATACAAAAAATATGTGTACAAATTATATAAAATAAAAACAACATTTAACACTTTAACAGTTTAACGTACACTATGTTTATTATTTACACAACATTCATTTAAATAACAATATTTTTTTCAAAACATTTGAAGTGAATGCATATTTATTTATAGCCTCTTCCAGATCTATATCAATGTCCCTCTCACATGAAAGTAAAAGTAAGCTTTCCAAACGATTTTGCTGCATAGTGGAGCGTAAACGAGTTTTGATGAGCTTAAGCTTTGAAAATGATCGTTCACTTGAAACAGATGTGGCCGGAATGGTACATAAATACTTGTAAGCAACAAACAAATTAGGGAATGCTGCACATAACCCATATGAGCTAATTAGTTTTAAAATTTGTATTGATGTAAGATTTTTTTCAGCAATTTTTGTTAATGTATTATTATTAGTACTACTATCAGAATCACATGCATCAGTATTTTCTTCAGTAATACTTATTTCATTTTCAGAATTAGATAATGATGTAAGATTCAAACTGGATTGCAGACTTTTAAAACTAGAAGCAAATATTAAATATTCATTTTTCAATTCTTCAAGTTGTAAATTTGGAATCCATTGGACCAGTGTTTCAAATAAATCATTGGGAATAGGTTCTCCATTACTTGTAGCCATAAGACGATCATAGGAAAGAATCGAAAAGTCTTTTAATATATTTCGAGCTCCGTCAAATCTCATTAAGATAGAATTTGTAATTTGATCTAAAATAACAAAATAAACTTCTGTTCTAAATTTATCTAATGGATTTACAATTAAATGTTCTGTTGATGCTTCACCGGCCATTATTTTTCTACGTCGGACATGTACTTCTGGCAAACAGCTTTCAGTAAGACCATTGTCACTTGCAAATGTTTTGGCTTCATTCAATAAATTTTCTGCCTCATGATTTGTCCTTAACTTTTTAATTTGCTTACTTACATTATCTACCATAGTTAAAGCCTGGATAAAATCAATTGCTGGCGATTGTAGGTAGACTGATAATGGAGTGGTATAACAAAATATTTTTTTCATTAACTTTAAATTTAGGACAAACGTGAATGAAGATATGATGATATGTAAGTTTTTAGCTGTTGAAGAGCAATCTCGATCTGGTGAATTGGTTAATTCTTCTAAAGTCATCAATAGTGCTTCATACTTATCATGAATAATTGAAATTGCTCGATCGTGGGAAGTCCATCGAGTTGTAGAAAAATTTTTAATGCGACTGACTCTTTGATCAGGATAAACTTTTATTTGTTGTTCTTTAAATATAGCAGTACGTTTCCTTGCTCTCATAAAACTTATTACTGATTGCAATTCACCAAAGAAGTTTCTCATACTTGTGCTTTTATCACATGTATCAACAATTACAAGATTTAGTATGTGAGAAAAGCACCAAATATATATGGCTTGAGGATTTTTGTCCTGTATGTATGAACGCACTCCAGAATATTGACCTTGCATACAGGCAGCTCCATCATATGACTGAGCACATAAATTATTTTCCCAATCCAATTCGTAAAGATTACAAATTTCGCAAAATAAATCAAACAAACCTTTTCCAGATGCATCACTTGCTACTTTAACTGCGATAAGGCGTTCTTCAGGCTGATGATCATCATTAACAAAACGCAATACAAGTGAAAACTGTTCCAGGTTAGCCACATCGGTAGTTGTGTCTATAATAATAGAAAACACCCGAGCTTTTTTTACTTTTTTTAAAATTTCTAATCGAACTATTTCACCAAGTACATTTAACATTGTATTTTGACTGTCGCTGGAGAGAAATGTTATACGATTTTTTTTTGAAGCATTTGTAATTTTACTTAAATGAGATTTAAGTAATGCATTATGTTTTGACATTAATTTTAACAATTCTAAGAAATTACCTTGGTTTTTAGAGCTCCAGCTTTCATTGTGTCCTCGAAATGCAGAGTTTTGTCGAGCTAAGTAAATTAAAACATCAAAAATTATTTTTACTATTTCTCTATTTTCTGCAACAATAGAGTTGGGGAGTCCTAATGTGGTAATATTCACTCTCTGATTACTGATATACATGGCTCTTCTAATTTCAGACTGCAAGTGATCTGTTGAACATTCGTGCACTTTAAGTTTGTAGGCAATATGTCTCCAATCATTCGATCCACATTTTGCAAGTTGGTTACACTTGGAATGAGTTGTTCCAAAAAGTTTACATACAATACAATATACTTTGTCTTCAGAAGGAGAATAAGAAACCCAATTTCTTACTACAAAATCTCCAGAAGCAATTTTTTTTACTATAATGCTGTTCGTGAAATGATCTAATCCATTCACCCTGTTTTCGTTTAGGAAACTCTTGATTTTTTAGTTCAGCTGGTAACGGCTGGCATGGATGTAAACTGGCTAAATAAGCGAAATATTCGTTTGAATTTGTTGACAATATTAATGCTGGATCATTGGGAAAACGTTGGAAACTATTAGAATCTGAATCAATAATTATTGCTGTTTCTGTATTAATAACTTGATCATATTGAGCTGCAGTAGAATTATTATCAAGTTCAATATTACAATCTGTATTAGTATCAGCACCTAAAACAATTTGTTATTATATAATAATATTAATTATTAGTTAAAATTATACTTTAATTGCGCATAATAGTTCTCTTTATTAATAATACAAGAGAATATTATAAATTTAACATTAGGTATAAACATTTTTTAAATTTACCAGTACTCGATTCTATGAATGAAAACACTTCAGACCCTCTCATAATTGCGTTTGAACTTGTTGGCAATATAAATTCTGGATCATTGGGAAAACGTTGGAAACTATTAGAATCTGAATCAATAATTGCTGTTTCTGTATTAATAACTTTATCATATTGAGCTGCAGTAGAATTATCATCAAGTTCAATATTACAATCTGTATTGGTATTAGCACCTAAAATAATTTGTTATTATAAAATAATATAAATTATTAGTTAAAATTATATTTAATTGCGCATGCTAGTTCTCTTGATTAATAATACAAAAAAATATGATAAATTTAACTTTAGGTACTAAAATTTTTAAAATTTACCAGTACTTGATTCTATGATTGAAAAAACTTCAGACTCTCTCATAATTGCGTTTGAACTTGTTGACAATATTAATGCTGGATCATTGGGAAAACGTTGGAAACTATTAGAATCTGAATCAATAATTGCTGTTTCTGTATTAATAACATATCATATTGAGCTGCAGTAGAATTATCATCAAGTTCAATATTACAATCTGTATTGGTATTAGCACCTAAAATAATTTGTTATTATATAAATAATATAACATTATTATTAATTATTTTTTTTTTTTAATTATTAGTTAAAATTATATTTTAATAGCACATGCTAGTTATCTTGCAATATTGCTCTTGATTAATAATACAAGAAAACATGATAAATATAACTCAGGTACCTACTGAAATTTAAAAAAATTGTTAAAATATGCAAAATAGGTACAACAATTTTAAAATAAGTAGTTTCCTGCAAATTCTATCAAATTCTATCAAATATGCAAAAATATGCACATTCAATTTATTCTATTTAGAAAAATATTTACTTACCAGAATTAGAACAATGAGGTACTAAATTAATTTTCTGCCGCTGAGTATGTTCTACATTATTTACACGTTTTTTAGAAAAAAAACTAGAGACATCGTTGACTAGGTTAGATTTTTTCAATTTTGCAACATTACATGCAGTTAAATGTCTCTTCCAATTGGTGTCATTTAGTCTTAATTTGTTTTTACCACATAAACAGATATTGGTGGACATTATTTTAATTTAATATTAATTATAAACAACACACAGCTTAACACAATGACATAAATCACATTAGTAAATACTAAATAGTAAGAAACTAAGAACACATTTACCGGTTTGCAAAAAGTATACGATAGCAGCGAGTCGCTGACGCGTTGTGGCAATTAAATAATATTGGTATTTGGTAGGTAGTTGGTGGGGTCAGTGGAAAAACAATTTCATGATTTTATTTCTATTTATAAAAATAGATTATTATCATTAATCGTTAAAGATTATAATATATAGGTATCATTTATTATGTATACATAGTATAATATATATATATTGTTATATTGGATATTATAAACATGGCTCTGTATCTTATTCAGTAATCAGTATTCTTAATTTAGACGCAATCATTTCATATGGGGACATTATTTTACGCCGTACGCGGTACGCCTTTAGAGTGTATACCATAATCCATGATTACCACGAATAATATAGAACATACAATAATTTGAATAATTCGTGATACAGGGCACGTATAACAACATTTAAATCAAGATCAAACCGCTGAATTCGGCCGGCAAAATCAGTAAATAATCTCAGAGTAAAATCACACATTGCAAAAAAAGATAGAGAATAATATGCTTCTTCATCGATACTTCGATATTATATTTTTTGAATTTTTCTATTTTTCTATTTTTTATTTTATCTTTTTTGTAATGGGTGATTTTACACTAGGATGACATACATAGAAAAAATTATTCTGTGGTCGATGTTGCGTGTGGGCCAGAGAGAGAATAAACAAATAGTGCGCTGACACCATAGATAAAAGATTAATAGAACACCGACTCACCAGCAGACAACTGAAACAGCGATTCTAGCGCTCACCGGTTGTCGTAATAACTAAACTATCGATATTATCCTACATATCGATACTAGTTAAAATAATCGATAAATTTACCTTATCGATAGTAAGTCAATAAAACCAATTTTTTTCTATTTGCATGTTGTATCTAGTATTTACTATTTAGGATTTAGGCATTTAGTATTCTTATAAATTAATTATTGTTGTTTGATAGGTACTTATTAATTAACATTCAATTAATTACTGTGCACCTCAAACATGAAACATTATAATGGCAATGTAATGGATAATATTAATTGAAAAATATACACCTTATATAATATGGAATATTACGTCATAATACTTAGGTATACATATTGACAATAAAGAAAAAGTAAATCAAATAATTTTAATAGAAGCATAACTTTTTATTGAACTATAAACAAAGAATAATACAGTTCATATTAATACAAATATACATTATATATTATATATAATATACACATTTATATATTAAAAAACAAAGTAAATTATTTATATAACAATATAATATACCTATATCTCTTAATCTCTACCACATTTCATCAAATTTATCTTAATTTTTTTTGTTTTATAAGTTTTGGTGTACTTTAGAGCTGCAATCTTAACTGTATTTAAAGAATCCTTTGTATTATTCTCACCTTTATTTAAAATATAATTAATTTCTTTGACATATGAAAAAATTAATAATCGAACTGATGCATTTAAAAATATATTTTGGAGGTCATGTTTTGGACAATTTAGAGACTGAATATCAATATAATTTTTAATGTTTGATATTAAATGTTTTTGCAAGTTTGGTTTTGCAATAAAATCAGATATAAACATATTAAAAAAATGAATAACCAATGTATATAAATGAGTGGACTCACTGGTAGGATAATTTAGTTTACTTTTATCATATTCCCGGACATTAATAAAATTATGTTCGTTTAAGAATTTATTTGATGTTAGTTTATATTGGCAAATTTTACAGTTATTTAAAAAAGGTTTAATTTTTTTTATCACCCACCCTGTAACATACGACCTAGTATTCTTTTGTACTATTGAAGGTATTTGATTGATATTATCAGAAATGATTTGAGTAGTAATGTTACAATCATATTGCTCCTCTTCTAAATTTTTTACGGTTTCCTCATAATTGATTAAAAGCACAAACTCTTTCAAACTATCTAAAACGTCTTCGGAATTATCTACTTCACAATTTGCCCCGACGGAATGTGTAGCTGTTAAATTATTAATGAGTAATGATTTAAATGATGATATAAACCCTGAACAAGTTGGATTTATATTTCTCACACCGTGACTTCTTACTGAGCAATATAGATTTTCAATGGAGTCTTGGTTTAGATTTCTTAGAACAACAAAGTCAAATCCCTTGGCAAGTAACTTTTTAGATAAATATTGTATACCCTTAATAGTTACTATCCAATTTTTTATAGACACTACATGGTTTTGCCTACAAATAAATTTCATACTCCCAAGTATACGCAGTGCATTATTCCAAAAACTCCAGTGGCCAGAAGTTTTAGTCACTGCACATCTTAAGTCCTTCCCAACCGTTGGTGCAGCTGTACTCCCATTTACACTATCAAATAACTTATCCATGAAAAGACATAATATAGCAGTGTCTACTGCAGATGAATCAAGTTGACTGTTTATTGAATCATCTGTGTAAAAAAAAATAAAAGCACAACATTTTTATTTTTATGATTAGACTAAATATATTTAGTATATTAGAACATTAAATCTATAGAAAAGTGGTTCTTAACCTTTCTCAAATAACAGAACTCATTTTATAACAATTTTGGCGGAATACTTATTTTATGTCCACGAAATACCGGTTAAGAATCACTACTATAAACAGATATTCAATTTAAAAAAAAATGTATTTACTCGACCATGTAGCAAGGATTTTCATTATTGAACCCACTCGTTGACTAAATATTTGTGCTGCATGGGATACCTTCATTTTTTTCATTTTATTAATATATATATGGCCATCTGTCAGTTTAGGATTTATGCGATCACCTATTATGGATTCATTTTTGTCTAATTCGTACAGTTGAGTAATATGTGACCATTTTGCAATTCTTTTGATTCCATCATTATCAATAAAACTCAAATGTTTGGTAATTAAATTGTTACGCATACATTTAAGCAGATGAGGAGGGTCAAACAAAGGTACAATTTCTTGGTCATCTATTTCAAATCCAAAAATTTTGTTTTCTTCACCAAGTTTCTTGTATTTTTCATTGGTTTCAGATTTTAATTTGTTAACAGCTGCAACATTAGTTGACGCTTGGTCGCAAATTAGTGCAGTTACTATTAGTCCAGTAGATTGAACAGCTTTGATTACTTCCTTAATAGCAATTACTAAATCAGGAGTCTTCATACTACTACTAGTAAACATAAATGCAACAGGCTGTTTAAATTTTTTACGAATTCCTCTCACCATAAAAGTTAACGCTTTGTCAGCAAATACTGATTTTGTTTTGTTGTTTCCAAGGTCTTCAAACCCTATAACTTTATCTTGATGCGGAAAATATTGTAATCCAGCGGACAAAGAAATTTCGTCAAATATAACAGTGCAATATTTATCCAGCGGATTTTTAATTTTGTGTACGGTTTTTTTAAGGTGTTGAAATATCTTTTCATTTATTCCAGTTGCAAATGGAATTTTGTGTAATAAATTCATTAATGAACTTCTAGATGGAAGAGCGAATACTTTTTGTAACAACCTATAGGATTTTACACTTTGTTTGAATAAAGAAAGAGCAAAAACCTTATCGTCGAGTGTAAAACGCCTACCTCTAGGCTTTTTTGATTGAGTTCTTAATTGTGATACTATGAAGTTGATAGTGATATTATTTAAAGAATTCAAAGATTCTTTATGATGCCCCATATATTTTTCTGCTTCCTGTAGCCGTGTTTTGAGTGATTTGAAACGATACTGTAACACTGCTTTACTCTTTTTGGCTGCTGTAAGAGCGTCATATAAACGGCCTTTCTTAGGAGTTAAATCAATTCGATGTCTAATCTTTATCTGTTGTAAAATATTTTTACCAGATATTTTTTTCCCTAATAAATAAAACTTTATTAGCTAATTTTCTTGAATTTCATGATTTTTCATCTTGAGAATGAATAATGAAGATATATTATTTTTACCTTTGATTTTTGAAGTTGTACTTGCAATGGCAGGATTTGGAATTCGATCACTAATATTTTTTAAGCACATCACACCGCTAATATCAGCTAAACATAAATATAAGAATATTGGTTAACATAAATACTATAAATATAATTATATTATTTGTTTACCTAATGTTTTTAGATCAAATATAATAGGAATATTCCTTGTATTCTTTAGAGGAGACTCATAAGATTCAATAACATTTAAACCTGTAAATATTAAGAAATAGATCAAATAAAACCCCTTATTTAAAAAACTTTATGCACAGATTTGTTGTTTAATTTTTATATTTTAAACTAAATTAAATTTAGTAGAAACAAATAAATATACCTGTAAAGCATGATGGATGTGAGTTA